TGAGGTATAAAACATTTTTGTCAATTAAATTTTGCTCTTTATTAGCGACTTTAGGTGGTGGATGGATGACTAGCTCTTTTGATAAGAGATATTGTGAAGTAGGTGTATTTTTCGGAATATTTGTAGCTGCCCAGATTGTGACATTCTCTAAATCTAACTTGTCTTTCGGAGTGGGAGTGAGTATTGGGGTACCAGTAAGTTTTGTTAATTGAACGCGATCAGAATTGGGTATGTATAGTACTCCTAAATTATGTAAAACTGATCTCCCAATAGTTAGAGGTGCTGGAAACGTTCCATCTGGCACCACTCCACAAATTATTCGTAATGAGGGGCCAGTTCCGAAATCAATAGAAAGGTCGCAGTCATAGCTAACAATAGGGCCTAGATTTTTTTCCTACTCCTTGGAGCTGAACAGGTGAAGTAGATAAAGTCAAATTATGAGGCGGGACAGTCGAAGCAATGGAATCAACAATATAACAACTAGCAGTACCCCCATCAAAAAAAGCAAAACTCTTAACACCATTAATAAAACAGGAGAAGAAACGATGATTATCATTAACGCCTTCTCGCGAAACATAGGAAAACGAATAATTATTTATATTATTAGAAAATTTTGAATCATCTAGGCACACGGCGTCAGTTTTAAAGGCGCCGCTGCCAAATTCCTATTCCTTGGCATTGTCATTATTCTTATCATTTAACTCATCATTGTCATTATCATTATTTTGTGCATGAATGGGGTACAAGTCCTGCTACTCGTCGGAGTCCCATAAATCTGGTATGTCGTCATCAAACTGAACGGTATGATTAGCATAAACAGATCTGGACGGATTCGAGCGACGAGGAGGCGGGGGGGGTGGTCGATTGGTTTTTTTTTGATTGAAAGTTGGAGTAGAATTTATTGTACTTGCAACATGATTTTTATATCTTGAATGTTGAGGTGTTTGTTGTCCAATTTTCGCTTTAAACGTGCCATAAATTTCCTTGGAAGTATTAATTTTGCTAGAATTTTCCAGCTTTTTATCGTTTCTGCAATCTGAACTAAAATGACCCAATTTCCCACAGTTGTAGCAAACCGTTTGTGCGTTTGCAGCATTGACCGAAGCTATTGGATTTTCAAATGCAGATGTTTGCAGTGTGTATTTATCATCTTGGATTTCACGGAGCGGATCTTTATACGCTGGGAGAAATTCTCGATCCAGAGGACGGGAAGATAGTTGAGCCATCCAATTTTGTTGCTTTTCAGCAATTGTCCAAGCAATGGAAAGTGCATTGTGAAGCGGAAAGGCATCATTTTGTTGCACTAAAGAATTCCAGACCATACCCGCATGTGTTTGCAGAGTGTATTCAATCGTGCACTCAACTTCTTTATCAACCCTTTCCCTGGATGGCATTCTGTGGAATGCCTGTTCAAAGCGTCTCAAAAACTGATCAGTTGACTCATTTGGTAATGGGCCAGAACGAAAGGCAACAAATGCGTTGACTGGGCTTCTTAGATTGTTGGACAACGAGAGGATTTGTAGGACTGCCTCAATAGTCATTGGCCATGTCAGACGATGTGTCTTGCAGAAAGAGTTTACTTGTTTGAAATCTCCCTGGAATAGGTGGCAAACTCTTTGCGGCCACAGATGATAGTAGGACCCCTCTTGGACTAATGCTGATTGTATTTCCTGCAAGTGCATTAGATTTTCAACATCATTTGTAACTGAGAGAGGTTTCAATCCAGGTCGAAATGGTTTACTACTATTTCGGACGTCTAGGATGTTTCTATCCAAATCACTCTCGGCGACGAGCTCACACCAGTACTTCCACAACCACTGAATATATTGGCTGTTGTTGTTGTATGATGGCCAATTTTCGCGATCCGACCTATCTACCATTGGTTCCGATAAACATAGCAGATTTGTTTTTGTCCGCGGGCCGGGTGAGTTTGGTGGCGCTCGGAACGGTCCTCTGTTCGGGTCCCAGGTAGACTGCAAACCAGGGATGGTTAAAGGATCTCTGGTGTCGGCGATATGAGGTTTTTCATCGGTTGTTTGAAAACCTGAACTTTCATGCTGAACAGATTTCTTTGGAATTTCCTGGGTTTGAGTCTCAAAAGATTTGGACAGATGATTGAATTTATCGTCCATCACATCCATACGTGTAGCAAGAGCTGCGATATCGCTGCCTTGCTTATCCTGTTGCGCTGAGACCTTACGAATTTCCATCATGATGTCGTGAAGAGTTATCTCTGCCGCTGGAGCTTTGTTAGCGTCCGGATCGATATATCCAGAACTTCTCGTTGACGGAGCCATTTCGTTAATGTCAAAGTAAAACTTTTTGTGGTAGTTGAGGTACCTGCGCAAATAGCTATTTGTGCGTTCACGTGTAAGGATTACGAAGGTCTTACTGTAGACTATGAACTCAAAGCACGCCTGTAATCTTGGATTGCAGAATGCCTGTGGAGTTCGTTAAGTCTAGTGTAAGTTCGTTGTTTATTCAAAGCTAACCGGAAACTCCCCAAGAATACAACTACGCTAACCCATGATTACATAACAGATATTACACTAATAGTATTAACCCTTTATCCCGTGACCTGGACACACACCACTCTTCGGCAAACAAACTCTGTCAAGACTTTTCTGGAATTTCGCTACGATCTCCGGGAAGGAGGCTAGAAAGGCAGTGAGTGAACTTCCCAAGGTGCCCACAAGTCTGCAGGGCCCAGCTAGCCGGCTTCTTCGAACGCTTCAAAAAAGTTACAATGTCTTTGGATCTAGTCCTGGTGTCGGTATTATGAGAGCCCCGCGGCCATTGGCTTTTGCGATTTAGCTCGGCTGCCTTACACCTATAGATAGCCATTATTTTTTCGACTGGAGTTGGGAGACTTTGAAGGGCCGAGGCTCCGCTAAGTGTATGATTGAATGAGGACTTGTGAGGGGTGGTACCGTTTGAGGGGAGCTGTATGGGAGGCATAGGAGGGGATATACTACTGGCATAAACATCCCTGACTTGTAGGCACAGAGCTTCTACACGTCCATCATCGTCCTAGACCGCGAGTGAACAGTAAAATATACAGCTACCAGACTCCTCTTTGTCCCAGTGGATGGTCCGAGCGGGTCTTCCCACCACGGCGATAATAGCACTAGGACTGGGTACACGCAATCTCCGATGGCCTCTGTGATCGTGCGTAGGGATGGCGAAGTAGCTCAACGGTAGATTATGGACCCAAAGCAAGCCTGTAATCTTTAATCACAGAATGCCTGTAGAGTTCGTTTAGTCCAGGGAAAGTCTTTCGTTTCTCTCATACCAAACAAGAGACTCCCTACGTTACAAGCATGCTAATACATAATTACATAATGTGATTCCCACTAACCTTCTCAACACAGTGTCTCGTGACCTGGACGTATAGGCCAACCAGATGGTCGGGGCTACTTATTATTGGACCTAGTGGGATCGAAAAAGTGTAGATGAGATAAAATTAGATCTATATATAGACTCTTCTGAGTCCACGACTACGGAGCACGTCTAGAATCTACTTGGAAGAGACTGGCATCTTTTACTATTCAACAAGGTGTATCCCAACGCTAAAATAAATAAAAACCCTCGCAAAATCCTCTGTTGATAACTACGACCAGATTTCACCGGGCTAATCTCTGAACCCAATTTTTCAACTCTACATGGGCTGTGAGATAGGAGGGCAAAGACTGAAGACTTATTCTTTGCTTGTATTTGAGCAGGCTGGAGCTACTACAGAGTAGTTTTTAAGCTTCGAGGCTTGTAATACTAGTCATATCTTCAATCATCTCGACGTCTTGCTGATCTCATCCAAATACCTTGCATCTTGCCTTCTTGAATCGTCTCTTATAGCTTTGATAGCTGTTACCACATCGACTCCAAGTGCTCTACTTGAGTATTCAACATCCCAATCATCATTAAGGTGCCTCTAGCAGACGGCCATCTCCACATATCCTAGCGCCCGCCACAACATGAGCCCGATACGCTTGGGGCCCTAGTTGGATTATAATGATAGATTTAATGCCAATGTACATTATTTTTCGTCAACTAATGTTATACCAGGAGTTCCAAACGTGGCCATCTAAGTATTCACCTCTAAAGCTGTTCTACACGTCAAGACTTATTCCGAATATGACTCGTCCAAAGGTTTACCAGCCTCTAGAATGCTCATATTTCCCAGCATTCTTCCGTTCTTGAAAAGACTTGACCTCAGAACAAGTCCCTGCCGAATCAGCTACTTCTTTACCCTATTAGGCGGCTTAATTCTTTTTCGAGCTGACTCAATCGTCCTATAAATAGGTTACTTTCCAAAGGTCCGGCTTGCTAGACCTCCTCTGCTGTAGATAGAACTATGTCGGAAACACAAAAGGTTCATAATCAAGTGCCCAGGTGCTAGTAGAATTGTATGCCCATGTAGTCAACTTGTTACACTTTTCTGAATACTCCACTGAGCATTTGTTATTCTTTTGGCTATTTTCCCCGATGGTCCAGCTTCGCCCCAACTGGCAGATCCACGCGTGATGTCTTGTCTTTTGTGCGAGTCATAGTCTTTATTCGTAAAAATCTGCCGACTGGATTTAACAAGTAGATTACGCAGAGCCATTGTACAATCTCAAATTCTGGAACAACAACGGTGTGGATGAGCTTCAAATTAGCTCAGATTAGGCCACTTCAGTACAAGTCTCTTGGCTTTCTAGATATCCGCAGCAACTCTCGAGTTGACGACTATTGAGGATTACCAGAGCTTGATAGAAATTAATCCCGCTATTTGGGACTATATATGCATCAGACGCCATGTTTTGGGAGAAGCGTCTTTGATCTCCGGTTACCAAAGTGTTGTTTCTCCTAGTCTTTGGAATGCTGTAAACGCCATCATATCTTAATTGAACCTATCCTCACTGTTCCGACATAAAGCCCGATTAACTTGGGAGAACTAAGCTATCAAACAGGCAATTGAAAGCGGACAAGTATAACCAGCGCTCGTCAGACTCAACCTCATCATGAAAAACCTCTCTCTCATTTCAATTGTGGTTTTTTTGAGTAATTTGATGCCGGCGCTCGCCAATCAGGATTATCTTTGTAATGGCCTGCCGATTAAGTGGGATGAAATTTCTGACAAAGTTGACGAAAAATACAATGAGTTGATAGTAGATCCGTGGCATTATGACCGCAGTGGAGGCGATCAATTTGGGGAAGTGGTCTTCTCAAAGCACTATACTAATGATTGTATGCAAATATCTTTCAAAATAGTCATCATTAATCACTAACATGTCTCTCAAATAGCTCCATCGTTACTTCTTACCGTAAAATTTACAAAGGACAAAACAGTCACGAAAGTGACGGCTATTATTCACGATGTCCACTATGAATGCCGGCCGGAAGAGAGATATGAAAGGGCGAGTAGAGGATGAGACAAGCACAGCGAATAGTAAGCTACAAGGTTGAAATCTTTTGCGCTCCACAGGCGAAGTAATGCTGTTAGGCTTGAGGTTTCTTGAGCACGTTAGTAAGAATGAAATGATAAAGTTGACTGTGAAATTCACGGATGTCTCGTGGCTCAGACTACGACAATCTATCTGTGTGTGGAGCTTGAGACTAGGTGTAAACTTGTATTTCTAGTCACGTTCTAAGTCCTCCTTAAATACATGAAATTCCCCATACTCCAGATAATGTAACCGTCTGTAAGACATGGCAAAGTAAACTATCAAAATACAGTAGGGGAGGAGCGGGGTGCTTAGCCGCTTTATTTACTTGTTTATAATATTTAACGTCGTGCCCGCACACAGCACGTGAGTTCCTCACGTACCGGTTAGGCCAGTCTAAATTAAACTACTCGACGTCAGCGAGCACGACGTTTAATAAAACTACCCGACGTGTTGGCGCCCACAGACCCACCAAAGCAAACAATAGCCAAGATCTTATCATCCTACGCTCGAACATTAGAGTGTACATGAAGGTCGTCCGTCGGAGGGCAAGACTGAACACCTGTACGCGGTGTCCTCTACGAACCTGGGAGTGAAATATTCTCCCAGAGCCAAGTTCAGTCAAATTTCGCAATATCAAAGAAGTTGGCCCACGAGGCAAAAATCCAAATTACTCCACCATGTCAATCTTTCACTCCCAAAGAGTCCGATTCTCAACTAAGCTTCATCAAGTCTACAAGTACGACCTAGTACATCCTTGTTTCAATGACCACACCTCTCGTCGACTTTCTCTGGCCTCAGCCGGTCACCAAATACACGCCCACGCCGATATTTATACCCGACGGAGGAAGCAAAGCGTGGAGCACAAATCTGGGAGATAGCTCTTTGGGATGGACGTGAGAGGGATCAGGACAAGTTCACAAGATGATGCAGAAGAGGGATACATTCTCGACGGGCGTGGAATTTTGAAATTTGGCAAAAGTTTTACGAATTGAGCTTTGTGCGCGCCAAGACTCCGCTTGCGAGAGTGCAGCTGACACTATAAAAACAAGCAAACGATGGAAGGTGTTGTGGTCCGCCTCCTGGTGGTGTTCTCCGGTATAGTTTGAGTAGCCTGGGTACCTACTCCACTTGGGAAGGAGACATCTCAGATCACATATCGCGCGGAGAAAAGTTGATGGATGACGGAGGCATGTCTGGATAACTCAGGGTTTTTGAGACGTTCCCCTGGGTGGGTATTCACGGATGAGGGTTGACTTGGGGTGAAGAAAAAGCCACCATAACTTCGCAGTGGTACTTGCAAATGAAATCCGAGGCATGAGTGCTCCTCTTGTAAATTGAGTCATCTTTTCTGTACTTTTCTTTGATATTGTGTCATTGCTAGATAGCTGCATACGCAATTAAAATCTGATGCAAAAAAAAAAAAAAGAAGGTCGTCCGTCCAACGAATCTCATACTATGCCGTTGGTACTAAATCAAGAAAAGATTTTACAAAACAAAATAAAAAATAAAAGGAGAAGATTGTTTACATCAGATCGTGATTTCGTTCGAATCTGACTGTTCGTTGTGCCCTTTCGAAGAAACCTGTGTCACGCACCCAATTATTGAATGCATCAACTTCCTCCGCCGAAGCAAGAGCCCAGGATACGCTGGGATTATGCTTAGCCGCTTTTTTATATTTTATTGTTAAATGACAAGGTGTGTCTGGTTGGTGTAGGAACTTGCCGAGCCAGTCAGGGTCAAGCTTAGGAGTCGCGTCAATAACGCTACTCATGCAGATCAGTCGCGTGGAGGAAAATTGTACTTAGTAGTGATTGTCCGTCACTGTTATGTAAATAGCACACTATCGCTTCTCATTCTATCTGACCTCCTTCCACTGTGATAATTCTATTGTCTTCTCTACAGCTATACAGCTATAGAAGGCCTCCTAATTTAATATTTTTTTTTTTTATAATTATTTGACGTATTCTTAGCCGCTTTGATTGTGACTAAGGAATGCGAGGGAGGCAAACTCCACGGGACCTTGATACTCGGCAGCTCGCTTAGACTCGGAGTTCAGGATCCTCATAGGTAGTTATTATGGCATTTTGGCATTATGGTGCATGAAGGAGATCCGGTCTCTACCTAATAGCTTTACATGCAGTACTGTGTGCAGTATGAGAGATGGGTTGCTGATAGAGGATAAATGGCATAGTTGCTCAGATGGGAGCACACTTTGGTGTACTGCACACTGGTTACGTGATCGGTCTACAGGCGAAAAAGCCGGGAGATAAGGGATGAGCTTCCTCCAATCTGTCACATAAGATTAGATTATTATTATAGTCCTAGCTGAGTCTATGACTATGGAGGACTCCTAGAATCTACATTAGATACTAGCTAAATTTTCATGTCCAAATTGGATAGTTTCTAACATTGCTCTCATAGACAGTGAGGGACAAGATCTGTCACATAAAAATTACCATAATAACTTTACTTCTGCATATTAATGAACATATCACTCCACAAACTATCTTAGCTGTCCCAGCGCAAATGTACATTCCCAAATCATGTACCAATCACGATAAATGCGCAGAAAATACAAGACTAGGTAGAGCGTGACTAAACAAGTATGTAGATAGAAAGTAGGTAGATTATCTCTATAACATATCTGTATTTCCAAACAACTCATTCTTCTAAAAGCACCGCCAGCTTAGAAGACTTCTCTATCTTCCAGCAATACCGGTGTAGACGCTCAGTATGCCCTGTATCATTGGGGTAGCCAAGGAGAATCGCATTCAAATTGAAGTCGAAAGCAAAAACGAGTATATCTTAAATCGATGACTTTCAAATATCAATCCCATCATTCTCGCACGAGTCTTTCAGCTCAAGTTTACCTCATACCAACTCGCGCAAACGGCCGATCAATGAGCTTGCCTCGTCGACCATCCTCCGTGAGTACTCACCAAAGGGAAATTCAAAACCTTTGTTTATCCAAGCATGCCTTCGTCATCCATGCATACTAGTGCCGCGAGAAATGTAGTTTAGTTTTGCCGGATTCGAACAAGCGATCTCATGTCTCAAGTGGGGTATGTGTCCTAGCTATCCAGACTTTACTTGGGAGACCGTCCAAGACGATGAACCACCGTACCATCCAACCATGGCGGTGGTTAGAGTGTCGCCTGTACTCTCGCGATCGAAGCCTTGGCACGCACGAAGCTCAATTTGTAAACACTCCATGCCACAATTCGAAATTTCACGCCCGTCAAGACTGTATTCATCCTCTGCATCATCTCGTGAACTCGTCCTAATCTCTCTGACGTCCATCCCAAAGAACTATCTCCCAGATTTGTGCGCAACATTTTGATTCCTTCATCGGGTGTAAATATCGGCGTGGGCGTGTATTTGGTAGTCAACCGAGGCCAGAGAAAGTCGACAGGAGGTGTGATCATTGGAATGAGGATGTACTTGGTTGTACTTGTAGGCTTGATGAGACTTAGGAAGGATTCGATCTCTTTGGAAGTGAAAGATTGACGTGGAGGAGTTATTTGAGTCATTGCCTCGTGGGCCAACTTGTTCGATATTGCGAAATTTGATTGAACTTGACTCTGGGAGAATATTTCACTCTCAGGTTCGTAGGGGACACCGCGTAAAGGCGTTCAGCCCTGCCCTCCGGACTTCGCCTCATATAATAACCGAAACATATCAAATGAGATAGTGTTCATTTGTAGTTAGACTGTATAGTGAAGTTATGGATCGTAGAGGAATGCTGGAATGGTATAGGGAGGTGAAGGATATCTACCGAACAACGAGGCAGTTGAATAGAGCTTAAGGTTGAAGCTTGGTAGGTTGACACGAAGGGGGTATGAATAGACCTTCAGAGATGTTCAGTAAATGTAATGAACTGAAGATTTTCGAAGGAAAGCACACTACATTTATATACAGGAATTAGTCCTACTGAGACAAATTTAGAAATAAGCCAGGATATGCGCCCATGTCCCAGTATGGCAACGTTATCATAGTGAAGGTATGTCTTGACCACCAGTAGACCCCCAAGCTAGCTGAGTGTAAGACAGAATCACGCATATACCATAATTTCCAACATATCTTGTGTTAAGCGTCAAGACTAATTAATGTTACAGAAGATAGATGTGGCGCAGTATTAAATGATACGAATAACGGAAACGAAAACGAGATATTACATGACTAGTGAAACAGATGCAGGACTGTTAGAATTACAACAGACTGAAGTCTTTGCTGATCCAAAGGGAGACTATTCTCAATACTTGTCAGTGGTGTCCTGTTATGGCCAGGCATCCTTGAAGAGGTTTTAAGGGGAAGGTTCTCAGGAAAAGGTGATAGGAGAAGGTTTTGAGAAAGGTTTTGGGAAAAGGTTTACTAAGAAGGTTTCCGAGAAAACTCCTTCAGTCAGAGATGGAGGGGCTGGCGTCATGACGGCATTTGTCATAGTCTTAGTTGAGTTCAAGTACTATCTCCAGTTAGACTTAAGTAAGCTTGAGCTGCCACATAGTAGCTCTCCAGCTTCTCAATCTTTCATTCTTTTGATCTTTGATCTCGCAATCTAGCATTTACATAATGTTATAATCGTATATTCTCACAGTCCGATATTCTCAGTCTTTCGTTATTTGTTACATTCTTCGTAATTCTGTTCACCCTGAGTTATCATTCTTGATCGCCTGCTCGGCAACTCGACTTCTTGACTTCGTGTCTTTCGACTATTCTGTGGTTCCATAACCTTAGACTAACTGGCACCTCGCCAATCGAATCATATCTAAGTATCCTTCGTTAGCAACTGTAATCCTAACAGTTATTAATACCTTACCTTCGGCAGAAGGCGATCTCCAGTATCCTTAGCGCACGCCGTAACATGTCCCCTGCGAACCTCCGTCTCTCACTGTAGAGTCTGCAGAGCTGAGATTGAGTAACACCTTATCAACTTTGAGCTGAGTTATCTCCCCTTCCATCAAAGATACGCTTCCGATAACTCATAA